ACCCACTACATGGGATGGATGGGAGGGTTCACTCTACTGTAATTATTTTCGCACAGGGGTGGCTGGCTTTGTCAAGTGAACCTACAATCTTCAATTAATTTGTGATGATTTAGATGACTAACATGGTCATCTGTGAGACCAAACTGAAAACTGTGTCACCTGGTCCTATTCTTTTAATTCCTGTAGGTAAATGTTGAATCCTTAGGTAAAACTCATCTCACTCTAAATCTAATGAAGTCAGTTACCCGCTCTGACACTCAATTTTATTTTAAAAATATGCCACATGGGATTGTTGTGGCAAGAAATCTGACTAAAATCTTAACTGGAAACATACCCTGTAAATGTTACAGCCCAGTATTATATCAATAGTGCTTATAATAATAATCTTTTACTTACTATCATCATACTGGTTCCTATGTCTTTTTTACTTGGTGAGTTCTGTCGACTATGCCATCCCAGTACACTGTGAGTTTCATGAGATGGAAACCTTGTCTAATTTGGTCAAAACTGGGGAATCAGTGCGTCAGACCGTGCTGAGCACAAAACCACAATTACACATTTTAAGTTAATTGATAGTCATCGTTAGGACAAGAGAAGTAGCTGTCTCATTTGCTCATAAATAGTAGATGTTGAACCTATGTATGTTTTTTTTTTCTCCTGAGTTTAGGAGCCCTGGTTGCATCATGGTTATGTGTTGGGCTGCAATCCAAATGATCAGCAGTTCAAAATTGCCAGTGGTTCCATGGGAGAAAGGCTGGGCTTTCTACTCCCACACATGGCTACAGTCTCTGAAACTCATGGGGCTGTTGGACCCTGTCCTATATAGGGTTGCTATGAGTAGGCATTGACTCGACAGTGAGTTCAGTTTTGTGGGTTTGGGGTTATAGTTGTGAGGGACATCACACTCAATTGGCAACCAGAGTAAATAGTGCTATATTCACAAACCTGCAAGAACGGTGATCTGCAAGTATATGCATGGATGGATACACTGGCTGAATGAGTGGTGGGAGGAGAATGGGTATATATCCACAAATCCATATAGGTGTGGCAGAGGATATATATATATGTGTGTGTGTATATATATATACACACACACATATATATATATGTCATTTTATTGGGTGCTTGCATAACTCTTATCACAATCTATCCATCCATCCATTGTGTCAAGCACATTTGTACATTTGTTGCCATCATCATTTTCAAAACATTTCTTTCTACTTGAACTCCTCATTTTAGCCCTCACCCCCCTTCCTCATGAACCCTTGATAATTATGTTATTATTATAATTTCATGTCTCACACTGACAGATGCCTCCCTTTACCCACTTTTCTGTTGTCCACCCCCCTGGAAAGGGGTTATAGGTAGATCATTGTGATTGGTTTCCCCTCTCTCCCCCCCACCTTCCTGTCCCCCTCCTGATATGACTACTGTCAATATTGGTCTCGGTGGGGTTATCTGTCCTGGATTACCTGTGTTTCCAGCTCTTATCTGTACCAGTATACATCCTCTGGTCTAGCCAGATTTGTAAGGTAGAATTGAGGTCATGATAGTAGGTGGAAGCAAGCATTGAAGAACTGGAAGAAAGCTGTATGTTTCATTGGTGTTATATTGTACCCTGGCTGGTCCATCTCCTCCCTGCGACTACTGCCTGGTTTGTCCAATTGCCTACCGATTGACTTTGGGTCTCCACTCCCTCCCCTGACCCCGCCATTCACAATTACATGATTTTTTGTTCTGGATCTTTGATGACCTCATGATCCCACAGGCTGGGGTGCTTCTTCCATGTGGGCTTTGTTGCTTCCCACCTAGATGCTATAACTTTTGATAGCCGGGCACCATCAGCTTTCTTTACCACATTTGTTTATGCACCCATTTTGTCTTCAGCAATCATGACGGAAAGGTGAGCATCTCAGACTGCCAGATTATTAGAACAAAGTGTTCTTGCATTGAGGGAGTACTTGAGTAGAGACCCAATGTCCATCGACTTCCTTAATACTGAACCTATAAATATATGTACATAGATCTATTTTCCCATTGTCATATATAAATGTATTGACATATGTACATGCCTGTATTTAGACCTCTATAAAGTGCCCTTTGCCTTCTAGTTCTTTCCTCTATTTCCTTTTACGTCCCTCTTGTCCTATTATCATGTTCTGCCTTCATTTAGGTTTCAGTAATTCCCCTCAGCTACATTGCCCTTGATCAAGCCCCACCAGGCCTCCTACATCCTCCTCCCCATTGATTTTAGGTGACTTGTTGTTCCGGTTTGCTAACACCCACTTCCTTTCCCCCACTTCCCCCTCTCCCATGTCCTGCAGGAACTATCAGTCCTGTTGTTTTCTCCTCCAGATTGTTTAACCTGCCTATCTTATCTACATAGACCTGCAGAGATAATAATATGCACAAAAATAAGACAGAGCCAAACAAAGCAAGAAAATAAAATAAAGCAACAACAACAACAACAACAAAGCCAATGACGAAAAAAGAAAAACCTATAAATAGTTCATGGTCTGTTTGTTGACCTTTATGAGTGTTTTCCAGTTGAGTCTGGTGGGGCGCCACACCCTGGCCCCACAGTCTATTTTTGGTGTTTCCTGGGGACTTCATTGCTCTGCTCCCCTTGCTGTTCTGTTGCACACCCTTCGTGTTTTGCCTCCGTTTGGTGGAGTCAGATCGGGCGCAATTCCCACACTGTGTCTCCAGTGTTGTCCCCTTTAGTGCTATGGGTCAGTGAGGGACATCCTATCTTGTGGTGGGGCCAGCCCTCTGGTTCTCTCAGTGCATTGGCTGCTCTGATCAGGAATATTGTCCTCAGGGTTTGGTGGGCCAGGATGTGCTCCACTCTCTTTCCCTCCTCCTTTGTTTGCTTTTGTGTGCTCTGATCAGACATGTCCTTCTCCCTGAGCTGTAGCTTCAGTGCTGTCCTCTGAAGTGAATTCTTGGGGGGAGGGGGGACTGTCCACGAGTTGGGATTTAGGCCTCTCTATTGGTTTTCGCTTCTTGCCAATGTGTTGCATTCTCATCTTGGAACACCGGGTTGAAACCCTCTTTCCCTATTGTGATATAAATAACACTCTACCCTTGAGTGGGTTAGTGCCCTGTTCCCCTGGCTACCCATACCCCACCCCCTGCCCTCTGTCCCCTCCTTTATAATTGGCTACCATATATATACCTGGGTTTAGTCTGGTCCCTACCATATTACCTGGACCTCACCCCAGGAATGTATGGATACAGTAGCTTTTTCCCTATGCCCCTTTTGCATTTTTAAGCTTACCTCAGGGGACTCATGTTGTATGTGTCCTTTTGTGCTTGACTTACTTCACTTAGCATAATTTCCTCCAGTTCTTCCCATGCAGCCATGTGCTTCATGTATTCATTACTGCTTTTTAGGGATGCATAGTACTCCATTGTACTGCTTTTTAATCCATTCGTCTGTTGATGGACATTTTGGTTGTTTCCAACTCCTTGCGATTGCGAACTGTGCCATAATGAATACAGGTGCACAGATGGTTTGTGCACAGGCCATGGTTTGTTTCTTGTCTCTTCTGGGTATATGCCCAGTAGGGGGATTGCTGGTCATATGGTAGCTCAATTTCCATCTGTTTTCGATATTACCAAATTGATTTCCATCCTGGCTGTACAGTGGATGAGAGTTCCTATCTATCCACATCCCCTCCAACACTTGCCACTTTTTTCAGGTGTTAGGTAGTATCTCATCGTTGTTTTAATTTGCAGTTCTCTTATGATTAGGGATCTGGAAAATTTTCTCATATGTTTATTGGCCATTTGGATTTTGTGACATGATATTTAATAGCAGTATTTACCTTTGCTGAAATTATATCCATGAATGTGTATGTACAGCACACAGGGGGGAAAGTTATCAAAACTTCTGAGACTTGGGGCTCAGTATCAGCCTCAGGCAGACACCCGGGTCACCTATCACACTCTATCAATGCATAACCCTCCATCCATGACGCTGAGACCAGAACTAGATGGTACCACTACCACCTGCTCTGAAAGGGATTGTCTTAGAAGGCTGAGATAGAGTCGGAGAAAACGCGTGGAACAAAACCAAAAATCACATTGAGGAGCCCAGGTTCCCTGGTCTTATAGAAATGGGTAGGAACCCCAAGATTAAGCCTGGACTGGAACTCCCTCCCAGGACTCACTTCTCAGACAAGTAAGCAAAAGCTCTACACGAGGAACAAAGACACTAATGAGCTGTACACACCTTAAAGCACTCATTCATTTGAGACCAGGGGGCAGTGTTTACCTAGGAACCAGGTTCAGAAGGGTTAAGAAATAAGGTGGTATGGAGATAGGAAACACAGGGAGGAGGTGGGATGGGTACAGTTATATCCGCGGGGTTGCAATGAATGAAATGAAACAATGTGTACGAAACGTTGAATCTGTAGACCCGATATACTACTCTGTTACCTTTTCCCAAATCATAAGAAAAGCTCAAAATAATGTTATTGTTATTTTTAAACAAATACCTATGCGTTTAAAGAATTTACTATGTGGTATTAAATTAGCATTGTTAATTCTAAATCTTCAAATATAGTGAGTTTAAGCCCATGCTGGTGGAATGATATGAAAAAGGATCGTGAGAATTGTCATAAAGGAAAATGAATGTCCCGCAGGCCACTAGGTTGTACATGAAGAAACTGGTGAAACAGTGTATCTTTGGCTATGTCTACTTTCACCAAAGTAAAAATTGAAGGAAACATTCAAAATAGCATTTTCAAAATGTAGCTAAAACGTCTCCTGAGTAAAGACCACCTCGGATGCTGATTAAATTGAAGCATCTGCGGGGTCACTTCTGACCTGGACAATCCTCTGATCCTCAGGTCAAGCTTCAAGTGCCGACAGATGATGTGATTGTAATAAATGGCGTCCAGATGGGGTTGCTATGAATTGGAGGATAACTGCCGACAAGAATCAAAACTACAAGTATTTCTTTTAGAAACCACAGCCGCCCACAAAGCACATACCCATGTAAGGCTTGGTTCCCGCCAGGGTGGTGATCCGCATCTCCCTGGGCAGCATGGCAGCGATGTTGAAGTCTGTGATGTGCACGTGACCTGGAGAGAGAACCACAGAGGACGTCACTTCCCGCTCGACTTAGAGGCACAACCGTGCTGCTCATGGAAAGCGACTGGAAGCTTGACCAAATGCGTTCTTGTTGCCAAATGCAACTGGATACACGTTGGAGGGGGCGGGGGGAGGGAACCAGAAAACATTCTTTCCGCAAGGCCAAGTCGGTCTTCAATGTGACCCCCTCTAGCAGCGGGAACTTGACGCACAAATGTGTAAATGTGCCGTCGTGCCTCAGCAGGTGCTGCCCTTCCTGGTTAAGAGCTGATACTCTGCTCAGTCTCTCTGTAGCTTTTGTCCATTGGTGACATCTTAAATGGGTTATTCTGTAAATAACAATGGGGAGTCAACCAGCAGCTATTCAATATATTAGCAGTTCAAGAAAAATGAAGAAACAAACAAACAAAAAAAGATTGCCTCTATAAGGTTAGCACTTTTGTGGATACCAAGATTTACTTTTCGGCCAAGAAACAGTCCTTTTTTTAAAAATCATTTTATTGGAGGCTCATACAGCTCTTATCACAATCCATACCTACATCCATTGTGTGCCAAGCACATTTGTACATTTGTTGCCCTTATCATTCTCAAAACATTTACTTTCTACTTAAGCCCTTGGTATCAGCTTCTCATTTTTTCCCTCCTTCTCCACTCCCTGCTCCCTCATGAACCCTTGATAATTTATAAATTATTATTTTGTCATGTCTTACACTGTCCGACATCTCCCTCCCTTCACCCACTTTTCTGTTGTCCGTCCCCAGTGAGGAGGTTTTATATATAGATACTTATAATCGGCTCCCCCTTTCTCTCTCACCTTCCCTCCACCCTCCGGTATCACCACTCTCACCACTGGTCCTGAAGGGATCATCTGTTCTGGATTCCCTGTGTTTCTAGTTCCTATCTGTAACTATGTTTTTCAAGAGACCGTGAAAAGGGTACAAGATTGGGAACCAGGAGACAGGATTTGATGGTCAGTCTTGTGTGTCCATCTGGTCAGAAGATATTATTTTTGTTGACAAAGGGTAGTGGCTGCACTTGAGGTACATTATCTAGACATCAAATCAGCTCTCCCACAGGGGAGGTAAGAATTACCACTGACTGGCCAATGCCCTCACTGGAGCTCCAGTGCCACGTCATTTTATTAAACAGGAATCTAGGTGTAATTGTGAAACTACTTGGAAGAATGACATCACGCTTGGAAAAGTAGAGGACCAGGGTAAAGAGGAAGGCCTTCAACGAGACGGATCAACACAGCGGCTGCAACATGGGCTCCGGCATAGAAACAGTGGTGAGGGGGGCCCAGGACCGGGCACTTTTGCTCTGTTGTTCATAGGGTCGCTATGGGTCAGACTTGACTTGATGGCACTTAGCAACAACAACTTTGCAGATAGGATTTACATCTAAAAGTCAGCTGACTGAGTAAACAAGCTTACCAATAATAACGTGGGCGAGCGGATCCATCCCATCAGTTGAAAGCCTTAGGAGCAAACGGCATTTTCTCAAAAAAAGAAACTCTGCCTCCACACGGCAGTGCTTCCCTCCTGGCAGGCTGTGTGAAGACTGCAGTGTCAACACCTGCCTTAGTTTCTGAGTCAAAATCGACAGTATCAGTGAGCTTTTGGTTTGGTCTGCCCTGCAGACTTGGATTTGCTGGACTCACCACTGTTTGAGCCAATTACAATTCAGCCTTCTCTCTGTGTCTGCCTGTCTCTCTCTTTCCCTCTTCTGTTCTTCTCTTTTCTTTGTGTGTACATATCCTACTTGTTCAAATTCTCTGGGCTACCCTAACTAATGCTCCTGGCTGATGTCCCTAAGTTTGCCTCTAAAAAAAATATGACTTTCAGCCCATTTCTTATGCTGAGCCTCAGTCGTTTTAGGGAAAAATAAGGGCAAGTGATGTCCTTCGTTCTGACATTCATGGCAATACAGTGTAAGTCGAACACTTAATGTTTGCCAAAGAACCCATCTCCAAAGGGCTTTAGGGCGTTTGCTTTTGCTGCAGAAGGAAGAAAGGGCTAGTATCAGACCCAGACTAGGGTTTCACGCTGGATTGAATCAGTTTAGTAATGGGCAATTAATTGAAATTGAGCCAGACTGAAATTTGCAAAACACGGATGCCTGGAACACTAACCAGGATGTGAAAAATTACAGGTCAATCTTTGGAATGGGAGGCTCAGAAGAGGTGGACTGAGTTTTTCCAGGAACTTAATTAAAAAGAATAGCTTATTTCCAGGACTGTGGCTATTGACATACGTTCACAGCGTGTGCTTAGCCTCCATCCTAGTGCAGGGTGCATGTTTTGGCGACACGGCCAGTCAAGAGATTTGGTGACTGTGCTACACACACATTACCCTTGTTTTCTAAGAAGGCATCAACCAGTAATTTTCCTCCCTCTGGGGCCCACATTTTGCAAATTCTGGTCTGTACTGGTTTCACCTCATTGGCTATGACTGAACCAGGGGGAACCGGTTTGAAGCCCTGGCTCAGGCAGTCAAGCCTATTATGTTTGCTGTTGGCACGAAAGCCAGCTGGGGTTGATGTATTGGCATTTCCATTTACATGCTTCTGTGGTTTTGATGTGCTGTGGCAGTAATTGGAAGGAAGTTGTCGGATTTTTCTCCCACTGTCTCAGCATCCCCATTCCTCACACCAAACGTCTGTCTTCCCCCACATAGTACCCGGTCAGCTGCTAGTCGGCTGCCTAGTTTATTTCATGCAGAAATGCTTTGTTGTTGATGTGATGTTTGTAAACACAGAAATCATCCAGATAAAACTTGAGGTGTCCTTGCTCAGACGGCACCACGAAATGGTTTCATAACTAATTATCACAGTATATGTTTTTGCAGGGGTCCTCTTCTTTCTTTCTCCCCCCTAGTTCTCATCCACACAGCACTGGATCAGGGCTGAGACTGATGATAGCAATTAGTTAGCCTGATGTTTTAGTGATCTTGTGCTGCTACAACAGGGATGCCGGAAGTGGATGGCTTTAACAAACAGAAATTTGTTTCCTCAAAATTTGAATGGCCAGAAGCTCAAACAAATCCCGCCTTTCTTGCTCAGCCAGCCAGGTCCTTGGGTCTTAAGCTTCCACTCTCTGGCTCCTTGGAGAACTCCATGTGTCTAACAACCATCTTACCACATCTCTATTCCTTTGTCTCTGTTTTGCTCACTTGTTTAGTCTCTTTTATATCTCAGAAGAGTTTGGCTGAAGCTATACGTCACAGTAACCCTCAGTCACATAACAAAGCAACCTATTCTCAAATGGGATTATAACACAGGCATAGAGATTAGAGTTTCCAACACATATTTATGGGGGTCGTAATTCAACCTAGAGCACCTGCATAATTTACGGTTCATGGCTTGTATTCGGGAGTCAGACCGCCTGGCCTCAAGTCCAGGTTCTCCTACTAACTAGGTCTGTTGCCCTTGGTACAGTTACTCATCCTATCTAGAATAATAATGTCCGTCTTCTCATGAAGTTGTTGAGAAAGAAGTGTCCAATTGATATGTGTAATTTTCAGAAACTACCAATGTATTTTGACAAATATACATGGCAGGCCTTCACCCTCGTGAGACACCAGCTCAGTAGAATTGGTGTAGGACACGTGCCACAGGGGAGTGCCAGCAGTTAACACACTCAGCTGCTCCCCCAAATGATGGAGATTTGACTCCGCCCAGAGGCACCTTAGAAGAAAAGTGTGATCGGCTTCTGAAAATAGAGCTGTGGAAAATCTATGGAGCACAGTTCCACTCTGCCCCCTGTGGGGTCGCCATAGTCACAACAGCAGATACTGAGGCTGCAATAGAAGACCACGGCACATGTATCACCAACAATCATAACCATCAAACTCTTTACATGATCCAGGTTATAGGTCAAACACACAACCCTCTACTTTATCAAGAGCTGATTTTCCAAACCAATTCAGTAGAGGTAAAAGGTGCTCAAAGTGGTCACTGGACTGCCAGTATTAGCAATAGCTAGAAACTTGTAAGAATTGCAGATTCTTTAACCCCAGGACAAAGCACTTGCATCAGAACCTCTGGAGACAGGGTTCAACAAGGTCCTAGTGCAGGGTTGGATAATTCTTTGGGTGGAGACTTTTTATAAAATGTAGGGCATTTAGCATCATGCCTGTGCTCTACCTACTATATGCCAATGGCCCGCCCCACAAGTGATGGGAATCATAACAAGTTACAATGCCCTCCAACACTAACGAATGTCCCCAAAAGGTAAGGGAATAGTTAGGACAAACCATTCTCAGTTTAGTACAAAGTTGTTTAAAAATAAGTTTCAGATTCTCCTAATTTAACACCTGTAAAAAGAGGGCATTGTCTTTCCTTTTATTCTCTCTTCCCTGAGACAGCTGTTCATTCCTTGGGGGCAATAAGAGGAGGTTGGGGGGAGATGGGGAGCTAATAACGATGAATACAAGATGAAGGAAATGTTCTAAAATCAATTGTGATGACTGTACACTCTTCTTAATATGACTGAACTGTTGATGTGTATGATCTGTGAGTTAGAAGCCAATAAAACTAAAAGTCTGAATTGATAATAAGATCACATTAGAAATCTGATCACACTCTTGAGTTGTTGGATTCCGTCCTCATCGCTGTCATTGTTCATATCCTTTCTCTCTGCTCCTGCGCTCTCAGCGGGGAACGTTCTCAACGTGGCACTGCAGACACCATAACCAATCAATTAGCACTGCCCCTCATTGTCAACATTTTCCCGGCCACCCACGGGCTCAGCGTGTAGACACCACAGTTTGCTAAGGAAATCGCAAAATTTTCAAGGCACTACTTAAGGAGTCCTATTGGTGCAATGGTTAGGTGTTTGGCTATTAACTAAGAGGATGGCAGTTTGAACCCACCCAGAGAAAATGCCTAGTAGTCTGGGCCTATAAGTATTACAGGCTAGAAACTCCTATGAGGAATTTCCACTTGTTACTCAAGGTGGCTATGAGTCAAAATCAATCTAAGAACACCAGGT